AACCAACACCTATAGAATCCCTATAAAACCAATTAAATCCCATCAATATTCCATGAAATCATTACCCTCTGGTAAATTAACAGTTCGACCCTGAAAATAAACAATTTTAGTGGAAACCAGTCTTCCAACCCCGATGAATGCTAGGGTCGAACTGTTAATTTACCGGAGGGTATAACCCCCAAATTTCCATATTAAATCATCTGGTTGGTGGTTTGGAACCATGGAATTTTATGACTTTCCATTCAGTTGGGAATGTCATCATCCCAACTGACTAATTTTAACCCCCCTAAAACTTCCCTATAAATCAGTCAAACCTATAAAATCCCTTTAAAAATCCCGATAAAACCCATCAACATTCCATTAAATCATTAGAAAAACCCCTAAGTTTCCCTATAATATCCCTATCAAGCTCATTAAGCTAATAACCCACATATGATGGGATTTTCCTGGGATTTAGAAAACCCCTATGGGATTTCCTCTAAATTCCCTATAAATCCCTATAATTTCCCTATAAATTCCCTATAAATCCCATTCGAAAAGCCAGATCCCAAGCCGAGGTTCCCAAGAGGTGCTTTGCATCGACAGCAGCGAGGCGGCCTTGGAGCTGCTAAGGCGTAGCGCGGCGATGAACGCGGTGCAGGACCGAGTGAGGCGGAGCGGTGGAGCCCGGAGAATGGCTGCCGTTACAATGTGGGGCCCCCAAACGTTATGTTTGTTGGTTTAGATTCGCCCCAGTAACTATAGTAACTCTAGTTATAAATACCATAAACCATAGTTATTGGACTTATGTTCACCAACTGAACGCTATCTTGGGGGCCTCACATTGTATGGTTTATAGTTGATATATCTATACTTAAATAGGTGTATAAATAACTAGGGGGCACCACCTTGTAGCTGCGACTTGCTCTGGTTGCTAAAAACATGGACAACGATGAGTTTTGGTGTGTTTACCCTCTGGAAAAGTCACATGGACATCATCATTCTAGATTCTAGATAAATCATTGAACTGGTTGGTGGTTTGGAACATTTAGATTATGACGTTCCATATGTTGGGAATGACAATCCCAACTGACTTTCATATTTTTCAGATGGGTTGAAACCACCAACGATCATTTTTCATAATCAGAAATCATCTATAAAATCAGAATGGGTGCTATGAATGGAAAACCATAGGAAAAGCATAGGAAAATCATGGAACAGAATAGGAAAACCATAGGAAAATCATATATAACTGGTCCTATGAATGGTTAATGGGTGCTGTCAATGGTTAATGGTGCTATTGACTTAGGTTTAATGAGCCAGGTGCTATTCAAATGGTGAGTCAAGCCACCGAAATGGTGATTGAATGGGATTTGTAGCTGGTTTGTGGTACTTCTAACTATTAATGGTTAAGGGTTATCAGGGATAAGTAGGGTTTATCCACTACTAATGGTTATCCCCTGGTAAATTAACAGTTCAACCCTGAAAATCCACCATTTTTGCTGGAAACTAATCTTCCAACCCCCCGATGAATGGCAGGGTCTATGTTAATTCACTGGAGGGTAGTGGTTAATGCATCTTAAATCTCAATAATTTCCTCATAACTCGTGGTTAATGACTAATGGTTCGGGAATTTTGATTTTGAAGGGATTTTAACGGGAATAAAAACTATAAATCGTGGAATTAATATGATTTGATGGGATTTGGGTGCTTTTATGGTTATTAACAATGGTTGATGGCTATTCATAATGGTTAACAATGGTTGATTATCACGGTCAATGATTGTAGGGTGGATTCATATGGATTTTACATGTTTTTTGATTTAAAATATGTGTTTGTTTTAATGGTTCTTTTAATTTTCTTACTGGTGCTTAGTAGGGAATACTTACTAGGAATGCTTGCAAATAGTTTTGGATTAATCGTGTGAACTACCAGCAATCATCCCGCGACTCATCGTCTACTGATGCTAAGGGGGAGAATGGGATGATTGTTAATATCGATGTCAATAGCTATAAGTTATTAACGGCTATGGGTAGGATCTTAGATGGAGAATTTAATCTCTTGTTAATGATCGTGAATAACGATGGTGAATAACGCTCCAATCCCGAACTCAAGTGATAAAGGGATGATTGTTACCCTCTGGTAATTTCACATAGCTATTGAAAATGGCCATTTATAGTGAGTTTCCCCATGAAACATGATGATGTTCCATAGTTATGTAACAGTTTACCAGAGGGTAGTTGGGGAACGGGTGGCTGTCACAGTTTTTCACATTTTGGTAGTTGAGTGCCGATATTTGACCACTGATCTCACGGGCGAAGAATGGTGGATATATAATGATCGATATATGCTATACCCTCTGGTAATTTGACATAGCTATGGAAAATCCACCCATTTTTAATAGGTAAACCATCTATAAATGGACCATTTTCCATGTCTATGTTAAATAACCAGAGGGTAAGCTGCTGTAACTTGCTGAGGAAACTAATTTTAATTGACAGCATTAGTTGCAGGAGTTATAGTCACACCAATTACAGTAATATTCAGGGTCACAACTGCAGTTTCTTTCATTCATTTTTTCTGAGGAACCTTGGTAGAACTCGGGGAACATGTTCTTTATTTAGATGATGATCTTCCCATTCAAAGCACTAATTTTAGGGGATCCCCATTGCCACATACAAATATAAGTATACCTGCTTGGTGGTTGGAACATTTTATATTTTGCCATTCAGTTGGGAATGTCATCATCCCAACTGACGAACTCATATGTTTCAGAGGTGTAGGTCAGCCACCAACCAGATTATTTTTTGTAATCATAAATCACTGCTATGAATATGGATCATGATGATCTTCCCATTCAAAGCACAATTTTTAGGGGATTCCCATTGCCATTGCCATATATAAATATAAGTATACCTACTTGGTGGTTTGGAACATTTTATATTTTGCCATTCAGTTGGGAATGTCATCATCCCAACTGACGAACTCATATTTTTCAGAGGTGTAGGTCAACCACCAACCAGATTATTCTTTGTAATCAGAAATCCTTGCTATAAATATGGATGATGATCTTCCCATTCAAAGCACAATTTTTAGGGGATTCCCATTGCCATATATAAATATAAGTATACCTGCTTGGTGTTTTGGAACATTTTATATTTTGCCATTCAGTTGGGAATGTCATCATCCCAACTGACGAACTCATATTTTCAGAGGTGTAGGTCAACCACCAACCAGATTATTCTTTGTAATCAGAAATCATTGTTATAAATATGGATGATGATCTTCCCATTCAAAGCACTATTTTTAGGGGATTCCCATTGCCATATACAAATATAAGTATACATGCTTGGTGGTTTGGAACATTTTATATTTTGCCATTCAGTTGGGAATGTCTTCATCCCAACTGACGAACTCATATTTTTCAGAGGTGTAGGTCAACCACCAACCAGATTATTCTTTGTAATCAGAAATCCTTGCTATAAATATGGATGATGATCTTCCCATTCAAAGCACTATTTTTAGGGGATTCCCATTGCCATATATAAATATAAGTATACCTACTTGGTGGTTTGGAACATTTTATATTTTGCCATTCAGTTGGGAATGTCATCATCCCAACTGACGAATTCATATTTTTCAGAGGTGTAGGTCAACCACCAACCAGATTATTCTTTGTAATCAGAAATCCTTGCTATAAATATGGATGATGATCTTCCCATTCAAAGCACAATTTTTAGGGGATTCCCATTGCCATATATAAATATAAGTATACCTGCTTGGTGTTTTGGAACATTTTATATTTTGCCATTCAGTTGGGAATGTCATCATCCCAACTGACGAACTCATATTTTTCAGAGGTGTAGGTCAACCACCAACCAGATTATTCTTTGTAATCAGAAATCCTTGCTTTAAATATGGATGATGATCTTCCCATTCAAAGCACTATTTTTAGGGGATTCCCATTGCCATATATTTTAGGGGTTGGTAACTGCCCATTTTGGGAATATTGGACATTACCTTATAGTAGCCATTATAGTCTTTTATAGACCATAGACCTAATGTTTGGGTGATGTTCAATGGGGACATTTCATGACCCATGTATTTGGTGGTTTGGGAAATTTTTATTATCCACTTCTATAAACAAAATCCTCATAATTCATATTTGATGACCAGAGGCATCTCGATGCACCCACTGGGCATCAACTCGTCGTCCGCTTGGCGCGCAGGTCCTTGCGCACCGACGCTCTGGACTTTCTGCAGGCACCAGGGCGCCCATGGAGCCCAGGGAGCCCACGTTTTGTCAATGGCCATGCAAAAGGAACCGACCCGGCCTGGTAAACATAGAAAAAGCTATTATGGCCCTTAGGGAGTTTCCCTATGAAAAATGATGATTTTCCAGTATGTAAACGTTTACCAGAGGGTAAATTGGAGGTACCAACCATATATAAGGCCTATATAAGACCTATGTAAGGGAATATCCCAAATATGGCCAGAAATATGGCCAGAAATATGGTACAGTACCTCCAATTTAGGAACCTTTTTTTATTTGCATTGACATTGCAGATATGTTACGCATCCAAAATTGTCACGAAGAATCAAGGGGGCTATGATGGGCTATGAGAAATGAATAACTCGTCCCAACTAATTTGTTGTGGATCCCTCGTTTTCCATGACCAAGCTGTAGGTTGTTTATGATGTATTTTACAATGCGTGGAATGACACAGAAAAAACTCGCCGCCACGGAATCTACAAAACAAATCGCAGATGATATGACTAGATGCGGCCATTTGGTGGATTTAATGTCAAAAGAAACAAAGAACTCAGGGCTTCCACTAAGAACGGGCTCTGTTTGTCAAGTGCCCAGATCGTTACATGCCGAGCTGTTCGCAGAAAGATGCACTGTGCATGGGTCCCACATCAGAAATTCCCATGTTTCTTGCTGTAACTGTTGAGTTTCATTTTTTGAATTCTAATTCAACAGTGGAACCGAAGCAACACAGCAGCGAACCGCTTTGTAGGAGAAGGTGAAGCAGAAAACCGATGCAGCGGGCATCGGTGAAGCAGATCATGAGTTTGACCTCGTGCGACTTGGCTGCGCTGCGGCGAGATGGTGATCGCAGTCCTGTGAGGTTGATGAACATTTGGATCAACTGTGGATTGGGTTGATCCTATATATATTTTCATAATAATTATATATATAGGTTATAATAGCTTAAATGCCAGTGAAATCGCGTTGTGTTTTAACATGTTTAATCTTCTGACAGTTCACTATCTACCAACACATTTGTTTTGGGTTTTATATTTACTATTTCCCCACCTGCCAGGTGAGGGTTGTTAGATTTTATGTCAGTTGCCTCCTCCTCCTCCTCCTTCTCCTCCTTCTCCTCCTCCTCCTCTCCTCCTCCTCCTCCTCGTCCTCCTCGTCCTCCTCGTCATCCTCGTCCTCCTGCTCAACTGCGACCCTCGACGCACAGTGTTCTCTGTCGGACCTCAACCACGACCATCCATGCTCAGTGTTCCCTGCCGGACCTCAACCACGACCATCCACGCCCAGTGTTCCCTGCCGGACCTCAACCACGACCATCCACGCCCAGTGTTTCCTGCCGGACCTCAACCGCGAGTATCCACGCCAAGTGTTCCCTGCCGACCTCAACCACGACCATCCACGCCCAGTGTTTCCTGCCGGACCTCAACCGCGAGTATCCACGCCAAGTGTTCCCTGCCGGACCTCATGAGATATGCCAGATAGAATGCCAGAAGATATGCCAGATGGAATGTTAGATAGAATGCCAGAAGATATGCCAGATAAAATGCTATGAGATATGCCAGATAGAATGCCAGAAGGTATGCCAGATAAAATGTCAGATAGAATGACACAAGATATGCCAGATAATCCCAGAAGATTTGCCAGATAATATGCCAGAAGATATGCCAGATAGAATGCCAGAAGATATGCCAGATAGAATCCCAGAAGATTTGCCAGATAATATGCCAGAAGATATGCCAAAAGATATGCCAGATAGAATGCCAGAAGATATGCCAGAAGATATGCCAGAAGATATACCAGAAGATATGCCAGATAGAATGCCAGAAGATATGTCAGAATATATGCCAGAAGATATGCCAGATAGAATGCCAGAAAATATGTCAGATAGAATGCCAGAAGATATGCCAGATAGAATGCCAGAAGATTTGCCAGATAGAATGCCAGAAGATATGTCAGATAGAATGCCAGAAGATTTGCCAGTAAGAAAATGTAAAAATGTCACGGTGGGGATCACACGAAGTAAAGTAATTTTTTTTTGAGGTACCATCATTTTTTCCCATGAATTAGACACAAAATTTTGTGGGTATGGTATGCATCATCTTGAGACAAAATGTGCTTGAAGGAGGTCCTTGAGATTTAGCTAGCATCTGGTTTTCACAGCCTCAAAGTTGCAGAACTCGGATTTGTTCAACTCGTGTTTTACGGAATTGCGATGACTCGATTCGAACTTTCTTATGGTTTCGGTTTCATGGGTGGTTTCATGGGTGGTTTCATGCCTACCCAGGGGGTGATGTCAGATGTCACCCCGGCCGGGCCTGGCCCCAAAACAGGATTCTGGATCCGCCCAATCTGGGCGTGGATCGCATGAGTATCCCGAAGGCGCCTTTTCGAGCGGTGCTGCTTAGAACAGCTGAGTTGTGCTGAGAACAGTCAATGGCAATATATGATGGTCAGAAAATGTTCTTCTAACCAAATTCTCCATGGAAGTTTTGTAGATATACATGGTACAAATGGGCACTTACTGGAATGCAGATCCTGAATAATACACTGATTGGTGGTTTGGAACATGAATTTTATGTTTCCATTCAGTTGGGAATTTCATAATCCCAACTGACAAACTTATATTTTTCGGAGGGGTAGGTTTTCCACCAACCAGTATATATGGCAATGTGAAATTCCCAATTGTTCTTGTCTTATTTTTGATTTTCTGTTTCTTTTTTGTTGCGATTTTTTGGTTTTTTTTGCCTAAGGCATGTTGCAGGAAAGAAGGACACATGAAAGCTGAGATGGTCTTCCAAATCTCCAGTCTTTGCGACCACTCTGGGCAGTTTCTTCAGTTGATTAATGTGGGACCCACCCAATGCCATAATGGCCATAATGTGTACGGACATTATATAGTAGGTAAATACTGATGCTAATCTAGGATAACAGAGGGATAATAATAATACATAATAAAATAATAAGAATATATTATTGTTTTATATTGTTTTAAATTATTATACAGGACAATTATGCAGGACATCTAGAATAAACCATCCCCACGTTCGAGGTTTATGAACTTGGGGATACCCCTAGCAATGGGATATTCTAAACTGTCCCCTGGTCCTGGTTAATGGGATGGTTCATGGCAGTGGGTAGACCAGATCAATCAACATTCACCATTTACAAATGATGGAAAACCCACTATAAAAAACTATGGAAAATCACCATTTTTTATGGGTAAGCTCACTATAAATGGCAATTTTCTATAACATATATTATTTATAATCAATGGGAATCAAAAAGGATCCTGAAATGGAGGTACGTAAACGTACCATATTTCTGGCCATATTTTGTGGGGATATTCCCTGAAATTTAGGCCTAAAACATAGGCCCAACATATATGGTAGGTACCTCCAATTTAGGTTCCTGAGATGGCCATTGAATATTGTCCAGCATGTTTGGCAGTTTGCTTGATGTTTACATGTTTAAATCCCTGCTGTATTCCCACTTAAACGTACTTAAACCCTTTGACAACCCCATGAAGAGTCATCTATTCTTGCTGCGATGTTTACCACATGTCAAGGAAATTAAACCTTGGATGGTTAGTTAGTACAACTCAACCTTTCGCTATAAATGGGAAATGAACGTATGTAATATGTACCATTTACTATTAGCACTCTTTTTAATCATACATGTTACGTGGTATCCAACACTGGCAATGGACATTCTGTGGAACATTCTGCATGTTTACTACATGTGATATCATTTGATCATACCTTTGATCACAGATTCAACATCTTGTTTTAACCACATCTTAACCACATCAACAAAAGACGTTCTTATACATATTCAAACTATATTTGACTACATGTCACCATGAACTGGAAACACAGATACTATATTTGACTACATTTCACCATGATAAACACCATTGGTTAATCACCACTATCCATATTAAAATTGATTGTTATTTGAGGGGTATACCCCATTTTCACAGCCATATGGAGGTTTCCTAAAATGTGGGTACCCCCAAATTATCAATTTTAGTAGAATTTTTCCATTATCAACCATTTCGGGACACCACCATTTATGGAAACCCACATTTTCCATTTCAAGATGTTCAAGGCAAAAACTAAGTTGGGTTAAAATGGGCTAAACTACCTATCCAATTGATGCAGGATGAATCCCTAAGCCCTGGCAGTACGTGGATGCACTGTGGATGCACATCGCAGTTAGAGGTTCTTCTAACCAACTTTTCCATGGAACATTTGTAGATTGACATGGTCTTTTTTTGGCACTTACTGGACTGCAGATCCTTAATAATACACTGGTTGGTGGTTTGGAATATGTTTTATTTTTCCATTCAGTTGGGAATGTCATCATCCCAACTGACGAACTCACTCCATCATTTTTCAGAGGGGTGGGGCGAAAAACCACCAACCAGAAACAACCAGAAAACCACGTCCTGACTCCGCGGCTCCGCGGCAACATCGCGAGCCAGGCCCTGCGACACTACGAGAAGTTGGTGACCTCGGCGGTAAGGCTGGTGGCGCCCAACGGACTGCTCTTCGTGGCGTCCTGCACCTACTCCATAGGTGGGGTCCCTGGGTGCCGGATTTTTTCCGGGAAATCCTGTGATTTTTTACCCGGCCTGGTAAACGTTTACAGTTTGTGAACTGGAAAATCACCATGCTATGGGAAAACTCACTATTTCTATGGCCATTTTCAATAGCAAACTGTTAGTTTACCAGGCCGGGTATGCCAAAAAAATGGAAGTTGTAGTGGAAATTCATGATGAAACCATGGGAAAATCCCAAAATCCATGGGAAAATCATTGGGATATCCACGAGAAAGATATGTTTTAATGGCAACACGATGGTCACTATGGTAACATAGAAGGGAAAATAGAGGATAACCCACCAAAATAGAAGTTTCAATGGGGGAAAACCATTGGAAAGTCATGGGGCGTCTTGCAGCCAGTGGTTAATGACCCTGGATTTCTATGGAACAATACTTATCAATGCTCATATAATGTCAACCCTGGATTAACAAACCCCTAGTCTGTTTAATTGGGGGGATACCATTTAAGTATCAGATTATGACTATTTGGGGAGTACCCCCCTAATTAATAAAGCATGGTTTATTAATCCGGGGTTGACATTATAGCCATGAGTCAAGCTACAAATTGACTTTGAGTTTCCCAACCACATGCTAGTTGAGCATTGGTGGTTTATATCCCCATGAAATCCCATTAAATCCCATCAAACCCCCATTAATCCCATTAAATCCGGCGGTCACGCGCTTAGTGTTGTAATGGTTTGTCATGTGGTTTCATCAAATGACTTGCCCAAGGTTTTGACAGATGAACTGACTGTTATCAAGTCATTTAAGTTATTTAGTTGCTTATAGTTCTTATCTTGTCACTTTTGATACCCAATTAGATGACATTAAACGCTGTAAACATATGATAAGTTAAGTTGTCTAGTTGTTTAACTTATCTTTTGGTAACCAAACGTGCGGAACAAATCCATGAAACATTCTATATATATATATATATAGGTGGAGGTTTCTAGCCATGGATGGATCGTTTTGGAGGCAGCCACACCCCGAGGAAGCCGTTTCTCAGCAATTTCAGATGAACGCCAGTCAGTGCAAAGGACCAGGATTTTGTGCAACTGTGGATGGTTGCGAAATCCTGCACCACCAAACGGATGGTTGAAACGTGTTGAAACCCTGTAAATCATGGGATAAACCATCTACCAACTGGTGCAGGATTTCGCAACCATCCACCGAAGGATTGCGAACTTGACGCATTTCGACAGGAATTGCGGGAATGTGTTGACAAACAGAAGAGGATGAAGGCGGCACAACGCTTAGCTTTACTGTACTAGGAAGCCTATGATGATGAAGATTGGTATGGGGGACCGGAGGGCATCTAATTAGCCGATTTTTTCTTAGTTTCCCACTCATGATTGTTGCCCACTTATAACATGTGTTGTTTGCCATTTAGATATCTAGTCATTTAGTAAAGCTTATCCTACTTATCATCGTTTGGTTTTATCATAGTCATAATGTGAGCTAGTCATTGATTTTCATCATTCATTGTTGTAGTGATTAACTATTATTACTGGTTGGTAGTTTGGAACATGTTTTATTTTTCCATTCAGTTGGGAATGTCATAATCCCCACCGGCTTTCATATTTTTCAGAGGGGTAGGGCTCAACCACCAACCAGATTGCTAATTTATAATGGGATACCCTCTGGTAAACATACAAAAAACTATGGAACATCACCATTTTATATCTGGGTAAATCAACTATTTCTATGCTAATCTCCCTTTGGTTCCTTTGGTTCCTTTGATGATCCGTGGATCCTCCAAATTTTGGATTGCGAGCTCAGCTGAGTGAGTTGCTAAGTTCACCGTTTCTTAGCGAACTAAATCACACTCCGCGGAAAAATCCCAGTGAAATCGATAAGTCCCATCAAATCCCACAGGGTGGTGCCTCCCAGTTATAAGTTTATAATCCCATTACTGGTTGGTGGTTTGGAACAATTGGATGATTATGACTTTCCATATATTGTAATCATCCCAACTGACAAACTCATATGTTTCAAGATGGTAAAAACCACCAACCAGATTAAGTATTGGTATATCTACTGTAAACCATTGTAAACCCAAGTGAAATTGGAGTTATGGTTCACCAACTTAGCAAAACCTGAAATCCCATGAAAAATTGTCCGTTTATAACCAGGGATATAACCCACTTAGTTATAGGTGGATAAGCCACCAAGTAACCATTAACCCTTAATCAAAAATAGTTATAAGTACCATGGTAACCATAGTGAAATTGGAATGACATGTTCACCAATTTAGCTGCCATCAGCTATAAATCCCCATTCAATCACCATTTTTCTGACTTAAATCACCATTTTCCCTATGGTTTTCCTATGGTTTTCCCCAAAGCGGCGAGGTGAACGTGAGTTGATGGGCCTTTGCAGTCGCTCACTCGCCTGGGCGGAGCGGGACTATCGTTTGGTCAGCACTGGGAGCCAGGCGAATGGAAAAACGTGGAACGAATTTCTGGCCGGAAACGACCAAAATGGCAAAGTTGGGCCATAGTTTTGGCAGCAAAATTGTGAATTCATAGGATTTCAATGGGGTTTCATGGGATTTACCCCCTGGTTATTTAACAATATTTAACATAGCCATGGAAAATGGCCCATAGAAATAGATGGTTTACCTATTAAAAAAATGGGTGGATTTTCCATGGCTATGTTAGTCATAACCAGATGGTAAATGGGATTTTAATATAGGATTTGAATGGGATTTCATGGGATTTAGTTCTCCGAGTTGATGCATGATCCGGTAAATTCCATGGCTTATGGTTGGACAACCATGTCCCGGTAATACGTGGCTGTTTAAACCAAGTCATAAAAGCCAACATAAAACACCCATAAGTTACTAAGACCTCACTATTCACAAAATTTCACCAAGGTTTACTACAATGCGGTGCCCCCAAATGGTATCTATGCATTTTTTTTGAACGTTTCCCTAGGGCTAAGGCCGGATAGACTGACCGGTGGCTTCGCTAGGCTGCAGATCATCCAGGACATTTGATGCTTCCGGAGTCTCGCTATCTACGGGCGCTGCTGCTGCATTTGTTTTGAAAAGATATCGCGGTTGCGGCTGTGGTGATCATTTGAGACAAGTTCTGGTTGGTGGTTTCAAACATGTGGATTATTTTCCATAATATATGGGATAATCCTTCCCATTGACTAATATTTTTCAAAAGCTCTGGTCCAAAGCCTTTCCAGAAGTGGAGCTGTACATACAGAACCTTTGGGGTTGTTTCCGCTGGGTGCACAAATCGAGAAGTGTAGCCATGGACTGGGACGTACTGACTAGGGGACAAAGGATTTCCTTAGTTTTGTGTATGGTCTGTTTTGATGCTGAAGGCACGAAACACCTCATGCAGTCGCAGGACAGACGTGATTGGAAAGTTTGGGTTTCAGGCACCCTGCCACGGGCAAATGCCATTGTTGGGTTGGACATGCTGGTGACTTCTGAACATCCCTTGCAGCTCGAAGTAGATGCAGGATCGTATGTGGTGCCAGTTCCAACATGTGACCGTGAGGCTCTGCACCAGGTTGTTGACCTCTGTTCCGGCCTTGGGGGTTTCTCTGTCAATGCGGGTCGTCTTGGATTTACTGTCAGGGCTGGGGTTGACCATAATGGACTTTGGAAGAACCTCTTCAAGGCTTCACACCCTGGTGCCACCTTTTGCTGTGGGGACTTGATGGACTCTGGCGTTCTTCGGCAGTTGTTGGATTTGGGGGTCTTTCATGGGGTGATTTGTTCAGGCATAGCATGCCAGCCGCATTCGAAGTCCTTGCATGTTTCCTGGCTACTTCAGTCAGCTGTGGTGATCCTTGAATGCACTCCTGAGATTCTTCGTGACCCCCAAGCCCAAGAAATCCTTAGGAAGTTCTGTGTTTCAACAGGATACCGGCTGACTCAAGCCATCCTGAAGCTTGGCAATGCATGGTGCGGCAGACGTGACCGTTGGATTGCAGTTTTGACAGCACCGGTGATTCCACCTTGTGACCTCCAGGATCTTCCTACGGGCACTCCGATTCAGGTTGTCAAAGACCTCATCCCTGAATTTCTGCCATGGCATGAGTTTGATCAGAAACAGCTGACACTGAACTTGTATGAGTTGGCAAAGTACTATCAGTATGCGGCAGGTGGGGTTGACTCAGCCTTCATCAAAACCCATGAGAAGTTGCCGACCTTACTTCACAGTGCAGGTAATCAACTGTACACATGTGCCTGTGGGTGCCGTGCTGCCCTTTCCGAAACCAGACTCCGCCAGAGGGGACTGATTGGTGTTCTCATCCCACTGGGTCCATGTCAGACTCATATGAATATGGTCATGCAGCATGCTAGGTACCTTCACCCGGTTGAAATGTGGGTACTCATGGGAGGCCACCCTGACTTTCCAATGGGTCACAACCTCCGTCTGGCCATGGCAGGTGTTGGACAAGCAGTGGCACCACTGATGGGGCTCTGGATTTTCGCCCATGTCAAGCAGTGCATTGACAGAACCTTGGATTTGCCGGCATGTGCTCCGAAAGAAGTGCTTCAAGTGTACATGGATGAAATCACACAAGCCTGTCGCATCAAGTGGCCTCCTGCCACAGCACCTACCATGGTGGAAGCATCTGGGGAAGATCCAATTGAGGAGTGCATCCCGGGGGTTGTTACCATTTCCCGGCCAGGTACCAATGAGCCTGATGTACAGGTGAAGCTCCAACCCGATGCCACGGGAGCAAAGCTTCTGGCAGCTGAGGTGCAGTTGGGGACGGCACAAGTTGATTTTCAAATCCGTGTGGATGGTGAACCTGTTGACCCAGCACAACCCCTTGAGCATCCGGCCTTGATTTCACTTGTGCCAGCAGGCTGGGATCCCAATCAGGTGTATGCCAATCATCCTGTGCCATGTTGCCTGAATATCGACAGTTTCTTGAAACTTGTCCGTGCATCCGATGCATCCGACCCAGGTCATATCACTGACCTTGCCAGGCTTTATGTGGTGAGACATCCTGACATGCCTCAGGTCGAACGTGATGGAATTCTCATGCAACAGGGTCCGGTATGGGGTGATGAAATTTGGCTTGGACTTCTTCAGATCGCTGACAACACAGATGCGGATCAACATGTTTGTGTTTGGGACCCTTTGCTGATCACAGGTTTGATTCAACAGGATGTTCCTGCCACATGGTCGCAACTCATTGGACAATTGAGGCCCATTCAGACAGTGATTTCTGCAGTTTTGTTGGGGGGCCACTGGATTCCATTGGTTTGGCGCATGGATACTGTAGGGGCCACGTTGCATACTCTTGCAGTTACTCCTGACTATGAGCCCACTTTGGAATTTTTGAGCCGGGTCATTGATTTCTACCGTGGTGGCGCTTGTGGAATTTGGAAAGCCCACGGGCCCGGTTTTGTCCCAGGGGGTCACTGTGGTGCCTTGGTTCTTGTTTTTGTGCGTCACTTGCTGTGGGGTTGGCCTTTGGTTTCGAGTCCAGAAGCCTTGCAAACCTGTGCAGATGAATTGAGGGCTACTTTTCGTGCCAAACTTGAGCCTCTGTGTGTTCGTCCTATGCTTGCTGGCTTGGGAGTTTCCGTGACTTCTCGCTTGGCTGAGATGCTGGTGCTTCATGGAGTGTCATCTCATGACTGTCAGGCAAGAGCTCAGGCGGCAGTGAAAGCTTTGGGTGAGGATGGACTGGGCAGGGCTCTGGATTCCGACAATCCCTGGCGTGAGCTCAAATGGCTTGGCAATCAGTCAAGGCCTCCATTCATGTTCATCAAGCCGTCTGAGTTGCAAGCACAGATTGATCTGAGAGCCAAAGAACAGCCAGTTGGACACAAGAAACATAAGGTTGCCAAAAAGTCCAAAGGGAAGGGAAAGGGATCTCCACAGCAGATCAGTCTTGACCCTGCTTCACTGAGGCTTGAGACAGGTATCTTCCAAAGCGCTGATGGCATGCCACTTGCACAACTTGGACTTTCCCAGGTAGGTCCTGCCGTTGCTGGTGTCGTTGTGGTTGCTGCTGCATCTATTGACCCCTACTTGAAGGCTGCCCATCCATTGTCTACTGGTCCGTTGGCACTGTTTGTGGTTGATTCCCCTAGTGTTCCAGCTACGGCCTTTCCTGTTTCTCCTGAGAGGGTTCCTTTGGTGTGTGCACACAACTCTGAACCGGCCTTGATTGATGGTTTTCTCATTCAGATCGGTGCGTTTCCGGTTCGAAGAGCGCCAATGCAGCCAGGATGTGAGGTCAAAACAGTCCCCACATGCGTGGTGAAATCCATGGTGTTCAGAGATCAAACCAAGGTGCCATGGAAAGAGGTTGTTGCACACCCGTTGCTTCATTTTTGCCGAGGTCCCACCTTTGCAGAAATGTTTGGATTCTGAATGTGCCGGCTGTGAGTGTTGGCATCGCTCTTTGGACTTCCCTATGGACTCTCCGGTGCTTGAACTTTGGGGCAAACAGTGGCTTCGTTTGGATTTTCGCCAGGCTCATCCAGAGCAAGCAGACCTCTTTACTGCACACCTGAGGCTGCCTGAATGCATGCAAACGCAGGTGGTGCAGTTTTTCTCGGGCCATGAAGGTGTATACCTGGAACCAAAGTCGTTGGACGGAAGACAGCCATCCACTGATTTCCAGGTGATCTGGCTGCCCAAGACGGATGAAGCTCAACTGGTCGGTATGGCTCGCATTGGTCACAAAATGGGCCTTCGGTGCAGAACAGAACATGCTGCCGATGTCTTCCAAACCTTGAGGCCAGGTCATACTTTCCTTCCACCAGGTAAGCGACAGACATACTTGGTTGGCCCATTTGCATACGGTACCTTGCAGACTTCAGTTGCTCAGGTCCTGCATTCCAATGGTTGGACGGCAAAACCGATTCAAGCTGTTGCTGCCAAGACACATGTTCAAGGGCTGATGTTCCGTGTCCAATCGGTCCAGGAGCCTCCCAAGAAGGTCATTCGGATGGCACATGGTGATGTGGTGATTTCCAAAGAGTTGGACAACCCTCAGCCTGAGCAAATCCACCCGAAGGTTGTTGCGACACCAGCCACTGAATCAATGATCTCGAAGCCTGTGGAAGGCGACTACATCCAGCAGAATGACCCTTGGGCCAAAGCGGCCAGCCAACTGCCAGCCAAGACAGCCACGTTTCAGATTGGCAATCCCCTGGAGGACATGACTCAGAAGGTCCTTACAGAGGTTCTTGCTCAGTTGCCAAGGAGCTCAATGGAGGTGGACGTTGATGAGGAGCAGGACAAGCGAGTTCAGGCTCTGGAACAACAACTGCATGACCTGAAAGATCAGACAAATGCGATTGCTGCAGCAACTCAGCAACAAGCTCAGGATACTGCGACCCAGATGCAGGACTTGAGGGGCCAGATCCATCAGCAAGGCGTTCACTTTGAAAGTGCCATTGCAGCTCAGGCTTCGTCACTGCAGGGTTTCCAGGACACTTTCCAGGAACAGTTTCGCCAACAGGTAGTTCACCAACAAACGATGCTGGATTCCATGTTCAGTAAGCAGATGACCCAATTTGAGACTCTCCTGACAAAGCGGCCCAGGCAGGAGTGATGGTGCCCAGTTGGTTGCATGACTGCCGTAACTAATTGGGTAACTATGTTGGGTGGTCAATTGATGCTGGTTCTTTGGACTTCACTCAGGTGGTTGGTTGGCCTCGTTGGACTTTACAGGCCCTTGGCCATTTGGAATCCCGGCCACTTTTCCTTCTCTGAGTTTGCGTTGGTTGGTGCGTGTCTCTGTGTCCTCGCTGTCACTAGCGTGCTTTGCGTTTGTGGTGTCAACCCGGTCAATGCGTTTTTTCGCATCAAGTGGGCTCCTCATGATGTTGTCTCCCAATTTTGCCTTCTCCTCTGGGGACTGCGTTGGTGCGTGGTGGTTCCATGTAAGGGCGTGATTGACAGGGATCACAGCTGGATGGTGAGTGTCTTGACTGTTGGAATGGAAGGTCCTTGTCATTCATGGCTCTTCTCGCTTGTAAGGCTACATGAGCTCACTTCCTGCTTGGCCTATCTCGGTGGCCATGGTGAGAGTGAAGTTGTCTCAGGCTCAGTTTTGGACTTTGATCCATGTCACTGGTGGCGTGAGGTGGATAGGTCTGGGCGAGACCGTGGTCTTGAAACGCAATGTTGGTCTCTGCGTTGCTGGGCTGTCCGAGTACTATGGTGCCTGATTCTCCCTATGTGCACTTGGTGTGTTGCCGTACGACTTGGGTGTGCGGCCAAATGGAATGCAGCCGAATCCGATCAGTTTGGGGCCCAGGTGATCTGCAGCATTGGCGATGTCTTTCCCTGTTTGCCTCCTGATTGGTGTCCACCGTCTCTGTGTGTTCTTTCGGCTCTTGTCAGTGGACTTTTGGTCTCGGTGTCTCTCTTCCTTGGCGTGGTTGAGTGCATCACTGTTTTGTGTCAGACCCTTGCCTTACAGAGCTTTTGCTCTTTTGGATTTTGCTGGCTTCACTTACCTGGTTGGTGTGCAGAACTCCTCACTCACAACGGCCAACTAGGCGCTCTTGAACAGGTGATTCATGCTGGCAATCTCGAGTTTTTCTCTTTTCACCATGGGATGCTTAAGCTGCTGCAGTGTGTCCTGTGTGTTTCACTTTTGATGCCGATTGTCAACTGCCTTTATGGTCTAGTTGGATTTGTTCAGAAGCATTTCCATGGCTGTATTGGTGGGCGATTTTGGAATTTTGCCATCACAAAGCGGGCTCCTGGGGGTTGCCGGCCAATCAAACGTTGTACAGGTTTTCGATGGTGGCAAATCTTTTCCTTTTGTTTATGGTTGCTCGCGTGGGTGAGGCTTCTCATCCAGGCCCTGAGACCTCCGAAAATGCTCAGTGGACTTTGGGTATTGCGAATCCCTCTGGCCTTAATGGGAAACTTGACCAGGTAAATCACATGCCGGGTGATGCTTGGATTTTGACAGAGACCCAACTGTCTCAGCGGGGAATCTCTATGTTTGCCAAAGGCCTTAAGATGCTCAAGAGTCCGTGGAAGTATGCAGTAGCTGGTGCCCCATGCCCATCCAGAAGTGGCAACGACACTGGTGCTCATTCAGGGGTTTTGTTCCTTTCCAAGTTCCCAGCAAGGGCACTTCCTCACAGTATGGATGAGTCCGTGTACTCCACAGCACGGCTGCAGGTGGTTGGAATGGCGGTGGCTGACGCATGGGTCACAGTTGGGCTCCTCTATGGACTTCCTTGTAATGCCTCCCATAAGCAAGCAAGGTTCCAAACCGATGTTCTTCTCTCTGAACTGATTGACAGAGTTTGCTGTCAGACGGTAGGGCCTCGGGCCATTGGAGGTGACTTCAACTATGGACCGGATGAGTTGGAACAACTGGACCGACTGAGGGCCCTAGGCTTTCGTGAAGTGCAAGATCTACGAGCCTGGAGACATGGCATCTCCGCGGAACCAACTGGGCGAGGAACAAAGAGGATCGACCAACTTTGGCTGTCTCCGGAACTTCAGCGAGCGTATGTTTCCACTCAGGTTCTGTTTGACCTTTGGCCTGACCATGCAGGAGTCACAGCTACTTTTGCCTCAGCCGAGCTTTCAACGGAGGTTTCCTCCTGGCCTCGGCCTATGCAGTTTCCTTGGCCTCAGGAATGGAATTGCCCAGTTCAGGTTGACATTAGTGGTGACCTTACGGTTGAGTATGCCAAGTTTTGGACTCAAGTTGAATCCTTTGCAACTTGTTGGAACCGCAATCACGGTCAGCCGGTTGTCAAGAACCATTTGGGCCGTGCAACAGTTTTGGCTCCCCGCCGGGTCAGGCAAATGTTGAGTCCTGTTAAGAAAGGCCGTAAAAGTGATGCTCAACCCACTTTTCATGGAATCAGCCTTCAACATGCACGGTTTTTCAGACAGCTACGGCGGCTCCAATCCTTGCTCCGGCTTGTTACCAAAGGGGTGGTTACCATCAATGCTCAGCTGAACAGGGACGAAACCTGGAAGGCCATTCGGTGTGCTGCGGGGTTCCCAGGTGGTTTTGGAATTTGGTGGGGTGTTAATGGACTTGAACCGCATGTTCCTTCTCCTCTGCCTCAGTTATGCCCTCCAGTGGACTTTATCCAGGGCCTCTTTGATGGATTTCAGAAATTTGTTCATCAATATGAGCGCCAACTGGCCAGTTCCAGATACCAATTTGCCTTGAAGCGTCGTGCTGAAAACATGGCCTATGTGTTTCAGGACTGCAAGGATGATCCACTTCCTCAGGCAGATACACTCCTTGACAGGGTTGAAGTTGGAATTGAGGAAGTTCGCTCGGAAGATCAGTCTTTGGTCCTTACTCGTCCGACTGTGCTCCTTCCGGATGTCCCTGTCGTCGTCGATGGCCAGGTTTTAGATGTGGTTGCACACTCTGAAGATCAAGTGTGGACGTCCTCAGTCACAGGGGTGAAAGTAGGCCAGTGGCTTACGCAAGAACGAGCGGTAGCCTCTGATGCTGCCATCCTTGCCCGCTTTGAAGCTGAGTGGCGTGCTCGGTGGATCAAACTGCATCATGTTGTTCCTGGCCAGTGGGAACAAATTTGTGGATTTCTGGAACAGACCATCCGACCCCTCAATTGGTCTTTTGCACCGTGGACTGTTTCCCGCTTCAAAGCCGCTGTGCGCTCCAAGAAACCCCGGGCTGCAAGGGGTCCTGATGGTGTATCTCAGATGGACTTGGCCACACTCCCGGATGATGCATGTGGTGCTTTGATCAAATTTTACACTGCAGTGGAAGAAGGGTCTGACTGGCCACTTCAACTTGCCTGTGGTTTTGTTTCCAGTTTGGCAAAGCACCCGCAGGCACAGCGGGTTGATGAGTTCCGTCCTGTGGTTGTCTACAGCCTCCCCTACAGAGTTTGGTCCTCTGAAAGAGCCAAAGAAGCCATGTCCTGCATTGCTGATCTCCTTCCAAACAGTGTGCAGGGCGGGGTCCCGACCAGACAGGCCAAGTCGATTTGGTTTGAACTTGCTGCCATGCTGGAATTGTCTTACCTTAATGGTGATGGCTTGCATGGGCTCCTTATGGACATCCAAAAGTGCTTCAACAACATCCCGCGGTTCCCACTGTGGTTTGCCTTGTCGATGATGGACTTTCCTCCTGCCATACTGCGTGCTTGGGTTTCCTTTGTCTCTGGTCAGGTTCGTCGCTTCCGTGTGCGTCAGTCCGTTGGGGAACCCATTGCCTCTACCTGTGGGCTTCCTGAAGGATGTGCTCTGTCGGTTTTTGGTATGACCATTATCGATTGGATGCTTGACTGGTGGCTTCAGCGACTTGAAGTTTCAGTGGACTTGCGTACTTTTGTGGATGATTGGGGTGTGTTGTTTAGGGACGCTGAGGCCTTGCCAAGAATCTGGGCTTCCCTTGAGGCCTTCACGGGGCAGTTGGATTTGCCTATTGACTTGAGCAAAACCAGAGTTTGGTCTACTGACTCCGACGCCCGTCGAAGTTTCCGCCAAGGATCAGTCAAGGTCACACTAGCAGCCCGTAACCTGGGAGCTCACCAGAACTTCAGCCGCCACTGCCACAACTCGGTGCTGTTGGCTCGTCTCTCCAAAATGGGCCCCATTTGGAAGAGGCTGCGAGCGAGTCATGGCCCGTATAAGTCCAAAGTCGCCGCCATCCACATGATGGCTTGGCCACGTGCCCTCCATGGAATAGCAGTTGTGCACTTGGGGGAATGTCAGTATAAGCCGCTTCGGGCTGGTGCAGTCAGAGCACTCAAAGCTGACAGAAAAGGGGCAAACCCTTACCTGCACTTAGCATCTACAGCGATGCACTCTGATCCAGAGGCCTGGTCGATCATCCAGTCGTTGCGTGATGTCCGGGAACTTACCAACCGTGAAACTGCTGAGCCACTGCTTGGACTTTTTGCATGCTCACCCGAGCGCCTTCCAGCCAATGGTCCTACTGCGATTTTGGTCTCTCGACTTCTGCGTTTGGGCTGGGCCGTTGGCAGTCATGGCATGGTTCAGGATCGCCTTGGTTCTTTCAGTGTCTTTTCGGTGTCCTGGGACGAGTTGGTCCTTCGCCTCCGGCTCTCATGGGGCCATGTCTTGGCTACGGAGCTCGCTCATCGGCCCACTTTCCAGGGTCTTGCCGCTGTTGACTTATCCGAATTGTATCGCTCGTTGGCTGTTTTCAGTCCTGCTGACCAGGTTTTCCTCAGGTGTCACCTTGATGGGACTTTGTTCACTCAGAATGCCAGAGCAAAGTTCAAAGCTGAGGTCTCTGCTTCTTGTCCCTGGTGCTCTGCCAAGGATGGCTTTCACCACCGTGCTTGGGTCTGTCCCCACTTTGCCCCGTGTCGTGCCCATCTGCCCATCTGACCCCTTCTCAACTTGAGGTTCTGCCGTCTTTGCCTGCGTGCTTGGTTGACCATGGGTGGCCTCTCCTCCTGCCTGAATGGGAAGTTGTTGCTGGCATGCTGTTGAGGGATGATGGATTTTGTCGGATGTCACCAGCATGTCCACCTGACAAGGGCATTTGTCCGTTGCTGGAGCTGTTTAGTGATGGGACGGCTGCGTACCCGCGAGACGCAAAACTCCGTTTTGCTGCTTGGGCGGTTACAATGGTTTCAGCTCAGGGAGTTCTGGACAATCAATTGTTGATGGGTGGACATGTTACAGGTTTGATACAGTCTCCTTTCAGGGCAGAATTGACAGCGGTTCTCCAGGCGGTGAAATGGGCAGTTCAGAGACAACAGAAGATCAGACTTTGGTGTGATTGCCAGAGTGTGGTCGGTGGAGTGAACAGGTTGCTTCATGGAAAACCAGTCCGGCGAAATGCTCCTCACTCCGACCTTTGGGGTCAACTACGTGAGGTCCTGACTGGCTCAGAACACTTGGTCCAAATCCGAAAGGTGGTTTCTCACTGTGCAGTCAAGAGTGCCCGTGACCCAGTGGAACAATGGGCGTACTGGCATAACAGTTTGACTGATGCAGCTGCTGAACAGATCAATTTTCGAAGGGATGAATTTTTCTGGCGAGCGTGGGAGGGTTTGCGCAGTGCACTTGAATTTCACCGGCCGTTGCACAGCGCAATCCAAAAGGTACTTAGTACTGCAGACATCGAAGATGGCAGCGGCAGAACAGAAGTCGACGGCGTCTGCCGCCACACCGGCGCCTGTGGAAGTTGGGATTCCCACGATGCCATCAACATGGGTCATTCCAACGGCTTTGACAAAGCGGTATGGAGAAAGAAACATGCAGTTACTTCATGCGTGGTGGACTGATGTTGGGGTTGGCATGCTTACCAGCTCGCACCCGATGGTTTACCTGGCAGGGATTCAACTGTATTACTCTTTCAATATCCATTCAGCTTACACTGGTCCTTGGTGCTCCAAAAAGAAATGGTACAGCAATGAGTTGGAAGTCCCAGTTTCAGCACAGCTGCCATGGGGATCTAGGACTGGTCTTTTCATGCGTATGCTCAGGTGCTACTTGAAATCCAACAAACTGGTGCTCCCAACAAAGATGGCTCGACCTGCGGCCACGTCGGTAGGCAGGTGGGTGGTTTGCCTCAAAATGAGGTGGAGCCAACTGATGCTGGACCAAATCGACCAGCTGATTTTGGACAAGTTAGGTCGCCAGCTTTCAGCCCCTGCTGACTTTGCAGTTCTCACCGCTGCTAAGACCAGCTAGTCCGCGAGCAAACGGGGGGGTCACGGGGTCGCCTGTCAGCCTCGTGGCTCCATAACAAAGAGTAATATTTTTCAAGATGGTTAAAACCACCAACCAGCAATTTGTTTGAAGTGGAACTTTCCGGGTATCCTGGCTTGGTTTATGATAATTCATGGGAATTAACCATAGCTGTAGGGATTTCACATTCTTGAAATTGACCAGGAAAATGGTTTTTCTGGCATGGCAAAATGAAAAAACTCTGCCTATTTGAAGATTCCCTGGGACTTGTTGTGTTGCCAGGATCTGGTGAATTGAAAACATGTTAGAGTCATTGCTGAATTCCTGCCTCAATTCAATGGCCATGCAACAGGAACCGATTGATTGGAGGTACCTACCATATATAAGGCCTATTTTTCAGGCCTAAATTTCAGGGAATATCTCCAGAACATATGGCCAAAAATATGGTATAGTACCGCCAATTTAGGATCCTGGAGATCTCCCATTGATCAATCTTTTGCCGATTTACAAACCAGCTTGGTCAAAACATGCCATGGATCGGTGGATGGAATGGTGAATGGCAGGGGGTTCCCGGGCTTCCCCACCATGGATGCCACAGTTTTTGGCCAGAGACGTCCATCGAATCTCCTTCTGTGTTATATCAAAGACCCTCACTGTATGATCCTCCCAAATAGGTGTTTCTATCCCCCACTAAAGCGTGGTTTCTGCGGGGTGTTGAATATTAGGGCGAAGGGATTATTTCCCTGTTTGGTAGTTCACAAGCGGAGCCACAGTTTGTTCACAGAGGAAGTAACACAGGCCTGGATCGACCCATCAAAAAAGGTGATTTCACATGAAATCCCATTCTATCAAGCAGTATCCAATAGCATCCAATAGCTAATGTGGATATGATATGATTTAATCCCATAGTTAATTCCCAACCCCTTGCAGGGAGGCATTGTATCTGTGATGGTGTGGGAAACCAAAAAAAGGTGTACCCCATTCATTTCTCAGAAAAATCGAGAAGTGTAACAGTTTTGTTGGCTTAGCATGGCCACTTTGCGCGTTCGGATGACATGCACCACATCAGACAGCCTGGGGAAACTCAGTATCCGCCCTAGCTCAAATCACTGGGTGACGGTGGGAAAACCTGCAGGACACCATGTTTTTCCCCGTCAAATCCGTGGGTGTCCATAGCTAGAACTGCTTGGTGGTGACTGGAACCATGGAATTTTGAATGGCTTCCCATTCACTTGAGAATGCCATCATCCCAACTGACGAACTTCATCATTTTTTTCTAAGGGGTAGGTAGGTCAACCACCAACCAGAAATGATAATACTATATAATACTCATAATAGTTATCCTCTGGTAAACATACAAAAAACTATGCAAAACCACCCTGCGATTTTCATGGGTAAATCAACCAGAACATCAAGTCCTGTTTTTCGCTATGTTTCCAGCATTTTACCCGTAAGCTGCATGAAATCCCATCATTTGGTGACCTCCCAGAGCTAAGTCGAGCGACTTGTCCTCATGGTTGGGACCCAAGTGTTAAACGTCCACCATGTTCACTTGAAATCAATCGCCATGGGAAATGCCATATTTTTTCAATGCAAAAAACTCCCATGATGTTCTCCAACGAGTCCGAAAATTGCCATGAAATCCCAGGAAATTATCATGAAAATCCCATTTTATCCGCATTTTCCCAGCTTTTTGGTTGGCATTTTGACATGGCCAGGGCCGTTGCTGGAAGCCTTAGCCGCGCAGATCCAGCAGCGTTTCTCTGCGGATCACTTGAGGGCGCCTCACCTGGCACAGGCGGATCTTGGAAGACCATGCCATGAATGGGATATGACGACTGGGATTTATTGAACAAATGATTTGTATATATATATATATGTATATACATATGGGATACTGGTTGGTGATGTTTAATGGATGACTGGTATAACCAAGTAAATTATAATGCATTTAATTTCATTACATATATATAATAAGTAGGAGATACCACCTCTTAGCTGGCTGGTGGGTTAAAGCTTTATGGAGGGCAATGTGGAAATTGTTACCATCCGGTAAACTAACAATTTGCTATTGAACATGGCAATTTATAGTAGATTTTCCCATGAATAATGGTGATTTTCCATAGTTATGTTAGTTTACCAGAGGGCACACACACACACATATATATATATACATAACATTCTATTCTACACATATATATATATAATTAATATTCTATTCTAGTAATTATAAAGTCATGGGATATGTATTTATATATATAATGTTCAGTTGGGAATGTCATAATCCCAACTGACGAACTCATATTTTTCAGAGGGGTTGAAACCACCAACCAGGATATGAGTTTGGTAAACTAGCAGTTTGCCATTGAACATTGTCATTTAGTTCGTTGATTTACCCATTCTTTCCATGGTGGTTGTCCATATGTTTTTGTATGCTTACCAGAGGGTAACCATTAGGTCTTCATCTTAATTTTCATGTATGGGATCCACCCAACGCCATAATGGGATATTAGTATGGATATTAGTATAGGATATTACCCTTTGGCAAACGTTTACATAGCGAACTGGAAAATCACCATCTTTAAGTAAGTTCGGTAAATCAACTATTTCTATGGGCCGTTTTCAATAGCTATGTTAAATTACCAGTGGCTATATAGTAGGATAACACTGATTGATATACTGTTTATAACAGATTTAGACTTGCTTGGAGGATCAAAGCCATAGATTCATAGATATTCATAGATATTCATAGATCATGTCCCTGGGAGAAAACAAGGCTTGTTGTTTTCCATAGCTATAATAAAGTGCAGGATATCAAGGATATCCCATAAAATAAGTGGCTTGTGCCATGATTATCACTACCTGGGATGTCCAAGCAGGGTAGTTTCCATCAAAAAGCTCGATATGATACCATAAACCCAGCAGATTCACTACTTCAAACAAACTTAGAATCCAAAAACATGATATAGTACACTGGCACATTGTAGATTCCTGCAAAAATTATACTGGTTGGTGGTTTCAAACATGAATATTTTTTTCCATTTCATACATGTTGCAATTGACAAACTCATATTTTTCAAGATGGTTATTGCACCACCAAGCAGGTAATCATTTTATAATAATCATTTTAACCTCAACTATATTTGAAAACTATAATCATTTGGTGGGTTAATGGTGAATCAATGTGGTTGAAACTATAAATTATTGTAAATGATATCATAACGTAACTATGGAAAATCACCATTTTTAATGGGAAAATCAACTATAAATCACCATTTTCCAGTTCGCAAACTGTTAGTTTACCAGAGGGTAATTGTGGATTAATCACCATGTTCCTTTGGTTTTCCTATGGTTTTCCTATGGATTTATTAATTAACCATTAACAATTAAAGTCCACCATTAAATCAGCATTTTCCTATGTTTTCCTATGGTGTTCCTATGGATTTATTAACCATTAACAATTAAAGTCCACCATTAAATCACCATTTTCCTATGGTTTTCCTATGGTTTTCCTATGGATTTATTAACCATTAACAATTAAAGTCCACCTTTAAATCACCATTTTCCTATGGTTTTCCTATGGATTTTGTATCCCTGATTCAAATCAGTCGCCCAGCCGCCGGTTCCGGAGATCTGCGCGGCCTATTGCCACGCACGGTTTCTGGACTCGCGGCATATGTCCGAAGTGGTGGCTCTGGCCCGGATCTCACTGCAAGAGGTGCCGGGGTACCCGGCCTGGTAAACATACAAAAAACTATGGAAAATCAATGAAAATCATGTTTTTCAATGGGTAAATCCACTATAAATCGCCTTTTTCAATAGCTATGTTAAATTACCAGAGGGTATTTGTGTCCGGATTGCCATTGAAACATAGAATGCGTGGCCTCCCAGTGGTAAACTGTTGTAAAAATTGATCTGTATATTTTATGAATGCTATAGTTATAAGTACCATAAACATCTATAAACCATAGTTACAGTTGTTGGAGTTGTAAACCAACTTAGCCATCTAGGAGGACCCACTTTGTAGCCTTGTTGATTGATCATTACAGGGAGTTAGACTACCTGGGTTGGGGGGATTATTGTCGCCGTAGGGGCACCTATCAACCAGCTCGTATAGCGAGATGGGATAGGGGTGTTTTGAATGGCTGATTTGGGCGTTGGAGTGGCTTCAGAGGTATGTTCAAATCATTTTAGAGGCAGACATGATTTGACTTTATCTGAGCCAACTGGAATTCATCATCAAAAAGGCTGTAGATTCTGTAGATCATCATTAATATCAACAAACATGGTGATATGTCCAGAAGAAAACAGGATATTAGAGTCAACCTTGGATGGGTAGTTTGGTATTGCAACTTTGTTGCTATCAATGGGAATGTGTAGAAACAGCTTAAAATAAGAAACACAGGGTGCCAAAGTTTGGTCATGACAAATTCAACCGCAATTCTTGAACCTTAATTTTCTGTCATGGCAAGTTCGTGACCGGTGTTTCCTTCTTGTGGCCAAAAAAAAGAAAATCAACTAGCTAGTTCTTTTTTGGGGTTGGTCTTGGCATAAGGTTGGCAACGTGTGTCTTTCCGCGAAATTGTGGCTTCCAAGCTGTATCATTGTGTATGCTTTAGTCTTAGTCAAAGGTGGCCCGTGTAACAGCCCAACATTCCACTACTGTGCACATCATACCCTCTGGTAAACTAACATAACTATGGAAAATCATCATTTTTCATGGGAAAATCCACTATAAATTTTACAACATGGAAGGGTGCAAATCCTAGCGCCCAACTCACACACGGTCAACAGGATATCTCAGGCCGTCTATGGCATGGATAGCCCAGAAAATGGATAGTGAACAGTTTTCAGTTGACTATATTTTGTCGGCCCTGGTGGGTACATACCCGTATTCACATGTTTCTTGTCTAACGCCTGATTTTGATTGGTTCTTAATTCAACCCGAACTGTGTGTGAATTCTCATGACTTCATGGCTGATCCAAGATGTTGATGAACTCCAGTCAAATCGCTATTCTGGTTGGTGGTTTCAAACATACATTTTTTTAATTGTCCATTTCATATATGGAATGTCATCCTTCCCATTGACGAACTCCATCATTTTTCAAGCTGGTGAAATTGCACCACCAAGCAGCTAATCATTTTATAATAATCATTTTAACCTCAACTAAACTATATTTAAAAACTATAATCATTTGGTGGGTTAATGGTGATTCAATGTGGTTGATACTATAAATGATTATAAATGATATCATAACGTAACTATGGAAAATCACCATTTTGAATGGGAAATCATCATTTTTCTGGAAAAGCAGCTAATAGCTGTGATGCTAAGTTTCAAATCGGATGAACTCCTTAGATTTGCTGTGATTCTCATTGATTCTGATTCACAAAATCCGCCAATCCAACAGGTACCCTCGACTGAAGCTATCCGGCCTGGTAATTTAACGTAGCTATTGAAAATGGCCATTTATGGTGGATTTACCCATTGAAAATTGTGTTTTTCCATAGTTATGTTAGGTTACCAGAGGGTACCCGGCCTGGTAATCTGTTGCAGTTTGCGAACTTCAACATGGCCCAGTCGAAATAGCTGATTTACCCAGCTATAAAATGGTGATTTTCATCGTTTTTTGGAAACGTTCACCAGGCCGGGTACTACTGGGAATCATGTTTCAAACAGGATTGGTTCTACTGGAACAAAGAGTAACCCCAAATGGTTGTGATAGGTGTGATAGGAGAATTAAGAGGGAGTTGTCTCTAGATTTTCCCAAAAACATCATTTGGCAAATCATCCCATTCAAGGCCGCAGTGAAATCATTGCCTTTTTTTTCTGTCCAACTGAAGTATGTTCACCAACTTAGCTATCATAAATCGCCTAGAATTCCATCGAGATCATCAATTTTCTGAGTTAGATCTAAATCCCACATATATCCCAATTGTTCATATTTGTGTTGGTGAAATCTTCATTTTTCCTTGGTTCAATCTCCCCCTCTTTCTGACAGCGTCGGGCCAGGCGCTTCCCTTGGAGCTCACCTGGCTAGCGCGTGCTGCCATGGACGCGAGGGCGGATCATGCGCAACTGCTACTGAAGGAGGTGGTTGGGGTGATGGGGGACCAGCCCAACTGGATACGCAGTGATCTGGGAAATCACCATAAATCCATAGGAAAACCATGGGAAAACCAATGGAAAATGGGGATATCATGGGGATTAATCCTACTGTATCTGGTTGGTGGTTTGGAACCATGGAATTTTAGTAATCTACCATGAACCTTATTTAACCTTGAGATGCAATAAACAGAAATGATGAGTTCCATTGTGGGTAACAATGCCATAAACAACCTCCATGACTGGGAAGGGTAAACATACCACCTATAAACATTGTGATTTGGGGGATGGTTTACCTTTCATTTTTTGCTACAAATGGAACATCACCAGCCAACCAGCAACATGCGTTGAAACATGCGTTGGCTTAACATGTGTTGGGTTTTTATTAGTTCGTGACAGGTCGTTTATCTCACTGGAATCATCCTCAGTTCGCTGGCCTTACATCTGGTGAGTGATAGTTACCATCTGGCTATGACTAACATAGCCACGTATTACCGGGACATGGTTGTCCAACCATAAGCCATGGAATTTACCAAATCATGCATCAACTCAGAGACCTAAATCCCATGAAATCCCATTCAAATCCTATATTAAAATCCCATTTACCATCTGGTTATGACTAACATAGCCACGGAAAATCCACCCATTTTTAATAGGCAAACCATCTATTTCTATGTGCCATTTTCCATGGCTATGTTAAATAACCAGAGGGTACTATGATTTAGCCGGATTTGTATGTCACATGTTATAAAAGCAGATAGTAATAAATAATGAACTACGTTGACCTGACTATAACCATAGCTTAAGGTTAGATGGTGTCTGCTAATTTTTGTTATTTGCTGTACCAGATGCTAAGATACATTATAGTATCTATAATGACCATGATAGGAGATATAACTATGGTATTTATATATTGCACCCAGTGATATGCAGCGTGACTTTTGGGAAACAGCGGTGACAATGGGGGAAGCGTAGGCATGACTTAGGCGTGACTTTCTAGGTTGCCTGTAACCCATCACTGGTTGGTGGCTGGAACATGTTTTATTTTTCACCCCAACTGACTAATATTTTTCAAGATGATTAAAACCACCAACCAGATCATGGTTGTAGCGTTATTTGTTTCATTTTTTTCAGCTACATGTAGGCTATCAAAAGGGTTGTCTTTTGAGCCCATTGGGAGCAACCCAGAAAGGTAAGATTTGCCCTCAATGGTCGCTCCAAGGTGGTGACTCCCCGGTCATTTGTGACAGTTTGCAAACTTGAACATGGCCCATAGAAATAGATGATTTACCTATAAAAAATGGTGGATTTATCTATAAAAGGCCATAGGAATAGTGGATTTAAATGATTTACCTATCAAACAAATGGTGATTTTCCATAGTTTACCCACTAAAAACCACTCAAAATGGTGATTTTCCATAGTTTTTGGTATGTTTACCAGAGTCTAGTCCTCTTTTCTTGGTCGAAATCATGGGGACCGGTCGCGAAAAGCACCATGATTCTCCGATGGCAATGGAGATGATTTCTGTTGCTTTGGAACAGTTTTTCCCTAGGAAAACCATGGGAAAACCATTGGAACATGGGGATGTCATGGGGATTAACCCTATTGTATCTGGTTGGTGGTTTGGAACATTTTTTGTTTTCCATATGTTGGGAATGTGATAATCCCAACTGACGAACTCATATTTTTCAGAGGGGTTGAAACCAGCAACCAGTCACTAATGGGATACTAATGGGGCGTATACTTAGACTTTGATGCTTGGGGCTTATAGTAATATCAATTTATGGTACTTGATGGCAATTTCATATAAATTGATGGTCATTACTACAATATTACTATTTGGTTGGTGGTTTGGAACCATGAAATTTTATCGCTTTCCATTCAGTTGGGAATGTCATCCCAACTGACGAACTTCATCATTTTTCAGAGGGGTAGGTATACCACCAACCAGATTTTCTTGATGAAGTGGTCAGAAAGCGGGGGTATAAATGCATCCTGCAGATGTTCCCTTCCACTAGACCTGGATTTCCATTGGTTTTGTATTGAAAACTAGCGGGGATGGAGCCTCCCAGCAAATCAGCACTATATAGGTTTGATATGGATGAACATGGCATGTCCGTTACAAACGGGGTGAACGGCAAGCCTTTGATGCGAATTTCGCGCTCCGGTTCATCTTCAAGACCCTTTTTTGGGCGTGCCGCGTTAGCGGGGAAACTTTGGATGAGTAGCTCAACACATATATATGTATATATAATTATATATAATTATATATGTATATGTGTGTGTGTGTGTTTTATTTCTTCGAAATTTATTCGAGCTATTGCCCCCATTTTTAGGCTGGTTTATAACCCCAATTAATATAGTTTAGATGCATCTATCATAAACCCAAGTCATTGGACGACCAATTAGCTAACTATGGGGCACCTTGCATTCCAGTTGGGAATTGCCCTATCGGCCATTTATATCCATAGTTATTGCATGTACAAATTTCACAGAATTGGATGATGGGAAAAATCAGAGGAAACCCCTATATTTGATGGTGAAAACCATGGATTCCTGTAGACTTTCCCTTAAACCAATCCATTGAACATTGGTTATAAGAAGAAGAACCACTGCGATGTGCATCCACATAGTGCCGAGAAAAATCCCCAACCAACTGGATAGGTAGTTGAACCCATTTTAACCCAACTTAGTTTTTGCCTTGAAATGGAAAATGGGGGTTTCCATACATGGAGGTACCCCAAGATGGATTGTTTATATGGGAAAATCCTTCCAAAACGAATGATTTGGGATACCCCCCATTTATGGAAACCCCCAAATAACCAGAACCAGCACAAGATTATTTTATGGAGGACTGCCAAAGGTTGACCATGGAATTAAATTGTAATATAAATATAAACGATTGTAATTAAGTGGAACAGACTGAGACACTCGCCCCACTTGCCAACTGTGATTGGATCATTCCAGCTGGAAATCTTGGATAGATGTGGTAAATCGATGGTCAATGCGTTTTCTTGTGGTATGTTTATGGACATTGTTTCCAATATGACCAAAAGCTAGCAGCCATTCATGATACCACATGGCTGAATTATTGGATGTAGGTTGCCTACGCAACATCTCATTAAGCAAAAAAAATGCCTGGCAACACGCAGGCAGCACTGCTCACCAGCGAGAGGGGACAGATGTTACCTTACGAGTCCCTTGTCAAGACGCTAAGTGGGATGTGGGGGGGGCAAGACGCTAAGTGGGATGTGGGGGGGGGAATGGGAAACGGTGCTTTATGCATGGTTCCCCTCCAAAAAACATCTGGTTGGTGGTTTGGAACATGTTTTATTTTCCATTTCATATATGGGATGTCATCCTTCCCATTGATATTTAAAACCACCAACCAGACATGGTTCAGAGAGGTTTTGGTTGCGCTTTCCTCTGGTTTTTCATGAATTGTTTCTGGCTCGAGCCATGGCGATCCGATTCTTCAAAGGACACATCTCAAAGTTAACTAGGTCAATCTTACATGGATACAAACTAATCCTTTAGTCTTGTGGTATTAATGGGAATATTTGCTCACCAGCAAAGAATTTGCCATTTTTTGCAGGGTATCTAAGATTGGCAGTGTTAAGAAGAAACCGGTGGTCCAGTTGGTGTGGATTATGCTTCAAGTTTAATCCTGCTGGCAGCATTGAATAAATGTTTGGTGCTGTTTGATTGCATTCGTCTGGGTTGTGACGAGATGATTTGAATTCGTAGGCTGTGCACAAACCTGCACTACCTATATAATATCAGCCCTGCATCTTTTGAGAGATTGTTCTCTTTGAACATGTTTGAACCAATAATATATATATATATAGAAAATATTAATATAAATATAGTGTGTATATATATAGTATTAATATATATATATATGTATATATATATATTCATAATATTACCAAATGGTTTAGAGTCTATGTTCAAGATATCAAAGCTTATATCTGTGCTTCTGCTTTCTGGTCATAGTCATAGTTTGGTTTTATCCCCATTGTCACCCTCCCGGAACAAACCCCGTACCGAGTCGGTTCAACATGGTTTAACTATGGTTTAATATCCGATGAATACTACTACATTCCTTTGGGATATACATATAATATACATTAATGTGTGTATATATTTATATATATGTACATACACATATACATATCTATTTACATATTTATTTTTACATATATACATACATATATTCTCATTTATATATATATATGTACATATGCGCATAAGACGTGCAAGAGCCTGATTTGCATTGATTATGTTAATTTCTAGCACCCAAAAGATTCGGTTGCACGAAATATTCCATTGTGTCATTATGTGTCATTATTATGATTGGCTTATACCCCTGTCGTACCATCATTGGAAAGAGCGTTTGGTACACTTCTCCAAGGTATTGACGGTATAAAGATATCAGGACGCATATCATTAGTATTCCTTTTATTTGGGCTTATGTTTCTTCATCCTACTAAATCCTTTCAATATTCACACGATATAGTATTTGTACCCCGGCTCAATTTTCCCGGGCTCCCTGCTTCAACCGTAGTCCTGTTTCATATCCTCATTCATCGTCATCGTCATATTGATCAAGATTATTCAAGGCATCCGCAACAAAAACATCTTCAAATATCATATATGTACAAATCGAAGTATTAAAATACAAAAAAATAAAATAGCAATACTTTATGTGTATATATATATAATACATGTGTACATTTTTATTTAATTACATTTTGGCATACGGGACATCAACATATCTAATCCCACCTACTAAATATATGGCCTATGTAAGGGCTAAATTTCAGGGAATATCCTCACAAAACATAGCCCTATAGAGTACGGCACCTCCACTTTAGGATCATGATATTCCAAGATTAATGGTATAGATCTTCCAAATTCCTACTGGTTGGTCCATTAATTAACTGGTTGGTGGTTTGGAACATGAAGTTTATTTTCCCCAATAGTTGGGATGATGATCCAATCTGACGAACTCATATTTTTCAGAGGGGTAGGTATACCACCAATCAGTAGTGATCTATTGAATTCATATGGATTAATATTGATTTACCTGGATTTACCCATGAAAAAAATGTGATTTTCCACCAACCAGATCATTTTTCATAATCAGAAATCCTCTATAAATGGAGAATGGGTGCTATGAATGGAAAACCAACCAGTATAAATAGAGGGTTCCTCCCTTTCAACCAACAATCTGGGTAAATTTGATCACGACCTCACTGTTCTCCGGGACCCTGGAAATCATAGTTAGTAAGGGGAATCATCCCCATAGCTGGCCTTAATTCAGGGTGGACGGTCCAGCCGGCTACGGTCAGCTGGGGTTGGGCCCGCTAAGGAAGATGGGAGGCCTTAATTCAGGTTAGTGAAATATTATACTGGTTGGTGGTTTGGAACACATTTTATTTTTCCATATATTGGGAATAGTCATCCCAACTGATTAAGATTTTTCAGAGGGGTTGAAACCACCAACCAGATAGTTATTAACCATCATTAGCCATATTATTCATGACCTGCAGGTTGCGGGTCGTGGCCTCAACCTTCGGCCCTCGGGCGGCCACCTTCTTGGCAGAGCCACTGGGAGAGGAGCTGCCGGCACTGGAGGCCTCTGTAGCGTCACGTGGCGAAAGAGTCGTTTTCTGGCGATTTTACTGGGGATTTGATGGTGATTTTGATGAATTTGATGGTGATTTTGATGAATTTGATAGTGATTTTAGGTGATTTGATGGTGATTTTGATGAATTTGATGGTGATTTTGATGATTTGAGGGTGATTTTGATGAATTTGAGGGTGATTTTGATGAATTTGAGGGTGATTTTCGATGATTTGAGAATGATTTTGGGTGATTTGATGGTGATTGATTTTAGGTGATTAGATGGTGATTTTGGGTGATTTTAATGATTTGATGGTGATTTTGGGTGGTTTGAGGCTGGTTTTGATGAATTTGATGAATTCTGTGGCAGTTTCCGGATTAATTAATTACCCTCTGGTAAACATACAAACAACTATGGAAAATCACAATTGTTCATGGGAAAACTCACCATTTTCAATAGCTATTTTGACATAACCAGATGGTATATAATTTATATTGCGGACATGTGAGGCTTACGGAACAGAACAGCTCCAAAAGCTTTGGACTGAAAAAGGTCTTATGGATGTTTATGGCACTCCCTGAAAACTAACGTGGAACGGTGGTTCCTAGAGGTAAAACATGGTCAACCTCCCCATGCGAATGGGTGAAAAGTCCCAAGATCATTAATATATTGAATATGTTAAAAATGTTAGGTTCAATTTTTTAGGTACTTGCAGGGTCTAGGACACCTAGGTCCGTTCCCTGCGAGGCAATTCACCACCTCCAACATGCAAGGCCCTTGCTTCACCTGGTTCCCCAAGGTGTGCGGAGCTGTTGCACGTGCTGTGCCGTTCCAACATGGCCGCACGGCCCGAGTGTCAGCCAGTGCTGTTGGAAGGCTGTGCTAGGCCCGTTTAAAACGGTGGTTACGATGGCGGTGGAGGAGATAAATCACTTGGTCACTTGCTGAACTGTGGGATGTATGATAAATTGATAGATAGATGGATGGATGGATGGATAGATAGATAGATAGATGGAAAAACCAGATAGATGGAAAAAACATAGGAAAACCATAGGAACATGGTGATTTAACCAGCAAAATGGAGATTACCATAGAATCATAATGATGGTAAAACAATGCCATAAACCACCCATGACTGGGAATGGTAAACATACCGCCTATAAACATGGTGAAATTGGGAGTTGTTTATTCTTGTTTTACTCACATTAGATATAATTCAGGAGTCTTTTTGGTCTCTTTATTTTAAAGCTGGTTGTGGTTTGGAACATTTTTTTCCATTTCATATATGGGAATGTCATCATCCCAACTGACAAACTCCATCATTTTTCAAAGGGATAGGTCAACCACCAACCAGATATAAGTTATCAACCATCATTAACCATATAATAACCATATATTAACCACCATTAACAGCACATCTATATATATATATATATAGACCATCAATTTCCCATTAAAATTCTACCATAGATCATACAGATAGACCCACGAGGTGGAGTTCCCACGAGGTGATGTTGGTTGTAAAAACCACCAGCGAGCTTAGCGATTCCAAACGGGGGCACCACCTTGCGATAATCATGGGATACACAGTATGGACATTTACCTGGATTAGTAGGATAAGATGGGGAAAAAATATGAACAAAATGTCGGAGAATCATCTATAAATGATGTAGGATCCACCCAATAATCATGTTAAAACCCAATCATTTTTTGGGGACAGTCTGGGATTATTTTTTTAAGTTCATGGGATGATTGATGCCATAAACCATCCCGGGTTTATTCTTCTTGGTTCTTGACATTGGGTTTACCAGGTTTACCACATGGGGAAGCCGTACTTGGTGAAAGGTCACTGAATGCTTGGGGAATGGTTCCCGGGGACCCACTGGATGGCTGAGATTTTGCCGAACATGAGAGGAGTTTCTCTTCCAGAGGCTATTAATAGGTTCCAAGTCCCGAAAGCCACTATAGACCCTGCAGGTATACTCATCATGAAATAAACCAACTTCGCAATCATAAACCATGCACATGTAAATTCTAAGATTTCTTGAGTTTCAGTCCCAAGTTTTGCTGCTTAAATCCACATGCTTGATCATCTTTGCTGGTTAAATCGCCATTTGTGCATGGTTTGTCCACCACGGCTGCCACCCACTCCGTTATGACGTCCGTGCAGTTGGCGTTTGGCCTTGCCTCCGGCTGTACTGGTGAGCCTGATTCCGGCACCAGAGGGGGTGCCAGCTGTGGTGGCTCGGCTTAAGCAGCAAGACTTGGGAGCTATATCTGAAAAAGTCGGGAAAATTGGGATTTGACCAACAAACATTGTTATTTAAGCAACAAATTGGGATCTATATTTGATTTATGATGGATTTCAGCTGGGCGAAGTGCTGGTGGAATGATGGATATAGCCAGGGTTGGATAGGATTGTAAACATGTCCCTCCAGGGCATAGATTTGCCCCAGTTTCACTGAGTGTTTGGTTACTTTAGCTGGGGGCGCAGTTGGGTTTATTCATGTGCATAACTATTGTCAAATTGCACCAACCTCCAAAAGTTGGGATACCCCTACAACTATGGTTATTATACAACCCACACCGAAGCAATGAAACTGCACTCCCAAGTAGGCTCAGTTTTAGGGTCGGAAACCTTTATTTTTGGCCGAGGCAGAAGCCGCCAAAGCGTTCCTTGGCCGTGGGAGAAGTGGATGGATGTTGATGCCTTGGTCATAGCTACGAGGTCGGCCCCCGTTCACTTGGTGAAATCTATGGTTTATGGATGTTAATGGGAGATATAACATGATATAACTATGGGCAATGGGGTCTATAAACCAACTTCTAACTGTTATATAGCAACTTATATAACTATCAATAACTATCATAAATCACATGGATCCGAAGTTGTACTAGTTTTCACCCCAATAATTTATGCTGGTTAAATCAACCAATTTCCAATTGTTGCTTGTTTAAACCAGACTTTTCACATCTTTTCGCCATGTTTGGTTGTTTACCCTCTGGTAGTTTAACATAACTGGTTGGTGGTTTGGATTGGAACATGAATTTTATTTTCCCCAATAGCTGGGATGATGATCCAATCTGACGAACTCATATTTTTCAGAGGGATTGAAACCACCAACTAGATAACTATTGAACATTGCCATAGAAATAGTTGATTTACCTTTTAGACATGGTGGATCTTTCCATAGTTTTTTGTAAACGTTTACCAGGCCGGGTAACTCCCACTTTTCCCCATGTGTTGCTGGGTGAATTTCCCCCAAAATTGCCACAGGATGGTGGCCCCCAGTTATGAATGTTAGTTGGTTTATAAACCCCATTAAAACTATAGATACTATTAGATATCTCACCTATAAACATCTATAAACCATAGTTATTGAAGTTATAAATAGTTAATTATAAACCAACTAACTATAGTTATCTAGTTCGTTATATCTACCATAAACCATAGTTAATTCAGCCATTTATAAACCAACTTTTTACGCTATCCAACGGGGGCCATAAACATCCAGAAACATCCAGAAACCATAGAATTTTTCCAGCTGATTTTACCGAGGCTTCAGGCAATCGCCGTGTTGCGGCCATTGGCCACGGCGGAAGTGCAGAGACCCGAGCACGTGCAGGCGTTGTGCTGGTGCGGGCTCCACTTAGTAAATGGGTTATACCGGTTTCACCTCCATTTTTATATATATATATATATCTCCGGGTAAATTATAACGACCTCACTGCGACCTCACTGGAATCATGGCTTATGTTAGGGAAATCATCCCCAAATGGCCGCAAGATTCAGGTTAGTGAAATATTATAATTTACCCATATATATATAGATATGTATAATCTGGTTGGTGGTTTCAAACATTTGGATTATTTGTCCATTTCATATATGGGATGTCATCCTTCCCATTGACGAACTCCATCATTTTTCAAGATGGTTAAAACCACCAACCAGTAATTATATGGGATTTTTATGGGATTATATGGGTTATATATAGGTTATAAGCAACTTACAAGTGGGGCCCGCACATCCAGGTGGGGCCTTCTTTGATCCTTTGGTCACTGAGTTCTGGGGAAAACGTTTTTCATGTTGAAGGAGTACAAACCCCTTGGGTAAACATACAAAAAGATGTGGAAAACCTTTGGTTCAATGGATTGGTTTAAGGGAAAATCTACAGGAAACCATGGTTTTTACCATCAAATATAGGGGTTTCCTGTAAGTTTTCCCGTCATCCAATTCTGTGATTGGTTTCTGGTTGGGAAAATGATCTACTTTTTATGCCGGGTTTTCTACATCTATGTTAGTTTACAGGAGGGTATGGTTGTGGGATATGAATGGATTACTAATCAATATTAATGGAATGTTAATGAGATATGAATGGATTACTCATGGAATATCAATGGGATATGAATGGATTATCAGTATGAGTGGAATATTGATGGGATAATGGTATACAAATGGAATATCACAACTTAATTAGCCTGGGTCAACATAAATAGACAATACATTCATATTCTGGAAAACTGGAGTTATCATTAATGTGGTAAACCCAGGAGTAATTTCTTACACCATCCATTCCCAATTCTGAGATTTATTGTTGGGTACACCGTTGGAAATGTAATATAACGTGACCCCAAATTTCGTTCGTAAATGGGGAGTAAAGGACTCCTGCGACTTAATCCTGGATTTTCCGAGTCGATTTTTTTTGGTTGATTTCCCAGTGGAAAGTGCACTATTGTTTTTTTATACATATGTTTTACTAAAAACTGTTTTATCTTTTTGGCTTCCTTCAGCAAGTGTTTTTTTTTTCATTCTCTTACCATGTTGATGGTATAATCAACATTAATCAACCACTATTACCCAAATAAAAGGCATCTCAGGTCAGGCCGCATTCCGGGATAATGGGCACACGCTTCGCGCGTACTTCGCGCCTGCAGGGTCCTCTTCGCTTCGAAAGTGAGGTACCTAGGGGTGCCTGATCTGGAGGTTTTACACTCAACTCACATATATAGCGAACTGCGAACATCATGATATTTAAATAACGGTAAATCAACCCATCAAATGGGCCATGGCTATAGCTATGTTAAATCACCAGAGGTTCAACCGCGGTTTTTGGGGATGAGATGGGTTGTAACCAAGTTACAATCCCACTGAAAATCAGACTAACTTGGCAGGGGAGCTTGCCAAACCCAACCACTAAGGCTGACTGTGCTTCTTTGGGAGGGAGTTGGGGCAGCTACCATCTGGTAAACGTTTACATAACTATGGAAAATCTCATTTTTTTTTAGGGGAAAATCCACTATAAATGGTCATTTTCAATAGCTATTAGTGTACCAGAGGGTAAGGAGTTTTGGGTACTCAGGTATCAACATTCCACATGTTCAATGGGGAACTTTGGAGGCAATGGGAGTGGTTTCAGTGTAAACTGATAATGCTGCAGGATTTTGGCAGGGTTAAAGAAACAGAGATATGGTCAACGGCTGTTTCAAATACATTCAAATACAGTATGTATATATATATATATACTTAGTATACCAGATAAGGCCATGCTTTTCAGATCCTTTCAGAAGAATTTTCTTACATAGGCCTCCATCGATTTTCTATAGATTAGGTTCTCGTTGATTGAGTACTTCCTCAATTCGGGTGTCTGAAAATAGGGCCTTCATCGAGTGGTTTAGCACCATTTTCATCCGTTTTCATCCCCATGTTCATCCATTTACCCCATTAGAATCGCAAGTTTAAGGTGTGCCCCATGTTCGGCCAGGACTCAGAAGCAGACACTGTCGGGATGCTTTGGGGGCGTCATTTCCAGGGACAACTGCACTGCGGTTGGTGACCGTTGAACCCACATCGGATGTCAACTCCCAGGAGAGGGAAAAAATGTAGGAAATGCCCCGCCCGGTGTTGGGCTGGTAAATTGCTGCAAAAGTTTGCAAAAACACAATCCAGTTTTGGTTGATCAACATGAGGATTTCATGGATTGTTTTGGATTGTTTTTTTTTTTGTCATTCTTCTCTTGTAATTACCTGTTACGCTCTAAAATATGGAACATCACGTGATTTTAATGGGTGAATCGTCAATGGGCCATGGCTTCCGTAGCTATCCCATATGCTCCATGGTGCTGGAATATGAATCCCAACATTTGCCCTAAAAATCACCCAATGTAGGTAAATATACCATACATGGGGCATATGGGTATCTTAAAACACTGGAGGGTAGGCACAGGATCGGAGTGGAAAAACCTGTCTCCGCAGGGGAACTCGGGCCCGGGCTTTGTACATCGCCTGATATTGCTGTTTGGCTCGAGTGGTCGTGCCAGGATTCCAGGGAGCACGTGGAAATGGTACCCTCCTACGGTCCTACCTTTAACAAATAGTGATTTTCTATATAGCTCTGTTCAAGTATCAGAGGGTAGGTATCTGGTTTTATTGGCTTTTCTGATGGATTACAGCCTTATACTTACTTTTTTTGTGTTAAAATCCTGGGGATTTTTTCTGGACACACACGGACTTTTTCCACATACTCCACTAGAATTTCGTCTGACGAAGGGGTGCAACAAATCACCAGACTTCTGCGATGTATTCCCAGTTGGGATCAGAAGATCTTCCCGCAGAATTGCCATCTCCAAAGAAATAGAAACATGTTTCCAGATGTTTCCAGGAGGTTGCAGATAATACTTACATATACTTACCCTCTGGTTATTTAACATAGCCATGGAAAATTGCCCATTTATAGATGATTTTCCCATAAAAACTTCCGTTTATGAGGGATTTGCCATGGCTATGTCAAATAATCAGATGATAATACTTTTTTTTTTTGGTCTCCCACTTTCATATCTATGAGTATCTATGTTGCGGTTGCTCTCTCTCTCTCTCTCTCTCCATATATATATATATATTGTATATGCCTATGCATATATATATATATAATTATATATGTATGTATGTATGGATATGCGACGAGTGGGTGTCATGTTTTCATTTATTACCCCAAGTTACCCACTGGGATGAACACGCCATATATTGTTCTGCGCAAAAATGGATATGGGTCAAAAACCAGTTGCCAACAGTCACGGGGATCCAAGAAGAAGGTAGGTCGGTTCTTCTGCCATGCTACACACACTTGGCAATCTTCACAGGCCCGCGGGGCACGGCCTGTGTAACTTGTGTGCCCCAAAATGTGCAGGTCCCATTTGACCAGCATCCCACTTATATATATATATAAGTAAATATACATGTATCATGCCATGCGTTATATACATATAATACACATATATATATATATATATATGCTATTTTTCATTCTGGTGTATTCGGCCATTTTTGCTCTTCTTTTTCTGATCGCTGCTCAAGCAAGGCCAGGAAACAGCCCCGGCCGGCTGGTGGTGGAAAATATCACATGTTTGGCCAGATGACTATGTATGGATGTTTCACTATGTTTCACTACACCCATAATTTCCCATCAAAATCCTACAATGTGGGGCCCCCTAGTTATAAGTTGGTTTATAGCCCCATCTAACTATGGTTATAACTACCATAAACCCTAGTTATTGTAGTTATAAACCAACTTAGCTATCTTGGGGGCCCCACATTGTAGTTAATCCACTGTTTCCCATATGAAATGCGCGGAAATGCCCAAGGCATCCAAAGACCCTACGATTCTAGCCGGTCTAGCCTTGGTTTCCTGCAGATTTTCTTGCTTTTGCAACTGGCAAAGCAGGTTGACTTCGGCACTTAGAATTAGTTGATTTACCCTCTGGTAAACTAACATAGCTATTGAAAATGGCCATTTATATTGAGTTTTCCCATAAAAAAATGTGATTTTCCATAGTTATGTTGGTTTACCAGAGGGTATTCTGTTGGAACATGGGTTGTGTTTCAATGCCTGGCGGCCTGGCATGGCTCAAATCGCGTGTGCAGGAATGGTATTGCATGGTATGGCATGGTATGGCATGGTATGGCTGCGTGGGCAAACCCTCGCAAATGAAACCCGACTAATTATATCTATTATCATAGTTTTAGATCTATTGGATAATAGATATAATTAGTGCAGATAATAGTGCAGATGGATATATATATATATATAACAGTGGATGGTATAATTATATGCACAGCGCAGATCAGTGCAGATGGATTGGGTTGTGACAATGGATCTTCTGCGTGATGGTTGAGTTCACCTGGTCATTGGTGATAGAAATTATCCTTGTAGCTGGATGTTTTACCCGCGTTCCAGATGGTTTTCGTGCCCAGTTCGCCATGCTGAATTACCAAAGGTGATTTTTTTTGAATGTCGATGTTCTTGGCATCCCACTTCATGCATAGCTTCAATTGGTGTATTCTGGTGGAATCTAGGGGTGTATTTAGTATTAGGGCAACCATTTCGTTCATCATTTCAAAAATGGTTAGAGTGAAAGTATACAGGACCCCCCAACATTTTGACATGTTGGAGGTCAAAAAATGTAAAGAAAAACGGCGTGTTTCCTGTGAAAGACCATTCAATCCAACCATTGAATGTATAACCACGACAGGGCACTTTTGCAATCTCAAAGCAATTTCCTATATGCTCCATGGTGCTGGAATATTTACCAACATTTGCCCCAAAAATCACCCAAATGTAGGTAAATATACCATACATAGAGCATATGGGTTTAGGAAGAAAGTCACTTTGAAAACCGTCTTTTCTTCTTGCCGCCATGGCTGAGCTGGTCGGTATCGAGGTAGTCAACTTGCACGGAAAGAGGTGGAAACTGGAAGATGTGACTTGCTGGCGTGATGTAATGTATATAATGTAGGTAAGACAATAGTAAACCACCCATTTGGGTATCAGTTATACCACCTTTGAGATTGTGATTTGGGATATGGTTTATCATTCTTATTATTGTTTTACCAAATTGTATCCATAAAGGTTTGCCCAAGACATGAATTTACCGTAGATTTTTCACAGGATGTAACAATATGGGCCTATCAAGATAGCTAAGTTGGTCTTGTTCACTACAACAACAAGGGTTTATAGTGATTATATTTGTACCCTCGGGTAAACTAACATAACTATGGAAAATCACAATTTTTAATGGGGAAATCCACTAAAAATGGTCATTTTCAATAGCTACGTTAAATTACCAGAGGGTAGTTAAATCCCAAAGATAGCAACTCCCAAATAGTTCATCTATCGCATCCCGGAAATGCTGTTCTTTCTTTATAGGGCATCCCTATAGTTTGGGTGTTGCCGATGAGTAATTTTATGCACCATAGGCTCCATAGTAGTAATCCAGAATTACCATGAATTAGGGATTTATATCCATTAAATCTTCATTTTTTGATGGTTAAAATCACAATTGTTGAAGGTTAAATCATGTGAAATCTCCATCTTTGATGACAAAAAATCATCCATTTGCCATTAATTCCGATCAAATCTGGTGATTTAGGGGGATTTGATAGGATTTTAGTGGGATTTGGTTAGCTAAGTTGGTGAACATAAGCCATCCACATAAGCTATGAATCTGGGTAAATTATAATAATTCACCTGAATTAAAGCTATGTCGGAATAGTTGCCTATACTAACCACTAGAAAACAGTGAGGTCGTTATCAAAATATTCAGATTTTTCATGCCACAAACGAAGAAACAGCGCTTCACCATGGCAGCCCAAGGTCCCGGCGTCGATGACGGGGCGCCAGCTCCTTCAGTTGATCTGCGACGCCTCCGTGTTGGCACAGCCACCGCCCGGTGCGCGCGTGGCAGTGCAGCATGGACGAGAGCAGTTGTGCTTGGGGAGGACCTTACGAGAACAAGGAAACCTGGATGGAAGTCATCTGGGAATGGTTTATACCGTACCACCTATTTATGGTCATTTGTTCTAGGGTATCTAAGATTGGCAATGAAAATGGTAGTGTCTGAAAACGGATATATTTAATACTTGGTGGTTCATCCCAGGAATCGTAAGTGGGTTAGTTCACCCCAGTTATAAGTGAACATTGCCCCTAGTTTGCCCATGTATAATCAGGCTTATAACCTACTTACTGACTGGGATGAAGCACCAAGTATGAATTTTCATGGAATTTCATGGTGGCTGAATGATGATTGTCGGTGATTCTTCATGGGATTTACCCTCTGGTAAACATACAAAAAGCTATTGAACATGGCCATAGAAATAGTGGATTTACCCATTAAATGGTGATTTTCCATAGCTATGTAAACGTTTACCAGAGGGTATGATGATTTGGAGATTTCTATTCCCGAAGATGATTCATGGGACTCTCTGAAAATGGAGTTATTCTGGTAATTTCATAGGGAACATGCCATTGATGGGGCCCCAAAATGTGATGTGAACGTTGGTTTATAAAGCCCATTAAAACTATAGATACTATAGATATATCAACTATAAACATCTATAAACCATAGTTATTGGAGTTATAAATAATTATGTTCACCATTTAACTATAGTTATCTAGTTCGTTATATCTACCATAAACCATAATTAATTCAGCCATTTGTAAACCAACTTTTTACGCTATCCAACGGGGGCCCCATCCTGTGGAAACAATGATAGGATGTAATAATCTCGTTGGTGCTTTGTTTGTTTTATGTTTTCCATATGTTGGGAGTTTCATCATCCCAACTGACGAGCATATTTTTCAGAGGGGTAGGTTCAAACCACCAACCAGTAATGGTTTATAATTGTCTTTTAGGGCTTACAATGGTTTTTAGTGGTGAATAATGGTTTATAATGTGTCATGATGGACCATCTTAAGCAAATATCAGGAACCTCTATGGAATTATATATATATATAGCTAAGCTGGTGAACATAATTTGGTTGACTTGGGTGGGAAGTGGGAACATAACTATAGT